TCATCCAAGATTCATTTAAACGGTAACCAAATAAATAAACGAACAGTCATTACAACAAATATGTCACGAAAGAAGAAGTCTACGCACAAATTTCTCCACTCCCGTTTCCACATCGACTTAGCGAAACGAGAATGTGGTACTAGTTGTACGCAAATTACGGAACAGGCGAATAGAGAATAAATAACGACGCGGTCGCCGAAATAGCTAGCGGATCGGTCGATATTTGAAACAACTAGCAATGAATAGCGACGGGAAACTAGGCGATAACTTGCTAATGAGGAGCATATATCACTTTTCCGATACTGCAACGAACGCACAACGCCGGTGTTGAATGGTTCGAATTGCAATGTGGAAACGCTGAATCGTCCCCGCGAAGCAATGTACTGTGAACCGCCCTGTAAATCACAACATAGTCTTGGCAAGGAAGTTAGTTGTCGAGCTGGCACGTTTGACGGATAATGGAAAACATTAATCACCGCGAGAAATATTCGCCGTTTTCCAACCGGGGAGGGAGACCCCTTGTCACTCGTTTTCACGCAACGAGTTTTCGCATTAGATTCGATTAGGCTCGTGAGCCAGATTGCACACCTCGATCGACGGTTCCTTGATTTTCTTCGATGAAAATCGACACTCTCGTTCGCTGTCTCGGAGGTAAATTGGATTTCAATATTTCACGTTCATTGGTAATTAAAAATAGAGGAAATTTGGTTGACCGCAAAATTTAGCAAATCGACGAAAATTTTGAAACTACTTACAGAGAATTAGTCGTTTCTAAAAGCAGTACGCTCTTAGCACTGTCGCGCGAAGTAAATCAGAGCGCATTAAAATTCCGCGTTACCCTCGAAAAGCAGACGTCTGAAGAATAATACACGGAACAATAAATATCGAAGACAATGGAAATGTTTAACTCGCGAACGACCACTCAGCGGTTTGATATTCGAGGCGGAGGAATCTTAAATGGCGGCCTCGGTCAAATGCGACCGCAGTAAACCGATGAAATTCAGTAATAATGGACGCGCTATTCAGCCGGATAAATTTAAATCAGGAATAGAACAGGCGAGTTCCTAGATCCATAAAAGTCGGCGTGATGCATAAATTGAATCGTGTTCGGTAATAAAGACATAGGCACATAAGGCACGATTTACAAGTGGACGTGTGCATTAACATACGGGAGAGCGTGGACTCCGTTGCGTGAGAAAATTTGCATCACCGTGAATGCTGCAAATAAAGATTCATGGGACGACTTGTTGCGATAAACGGGAGGAAGTGGTCGGTGAGTTATGCTGAATCTGATAGGTAATTAATACTCCTACGGAACTTTCTATTTCTCCGCAATAATTGCAGTTAATCTAGACAAGTATCGATAACAAAACAAAATTACGTATAAAAGTAGCATAAATTTTAGCAACAAATAAATAAGAAATATTGATAATATTGTTTTATATAAATTTCAGAAAGTATTCAAATTTCATCGATTCGAATTGATCTCATCGTTGATACATATCTTTTCTTTTTCTACGTCAATACTAAATAAATAAGAAATATCAAGAATTTATATTCAACGAACATTTGAAAAAATGATCAAATTTCCACACCCTCCAAGAAACACCACTTAGAATTCCCTTTTTCCCGATTTCATCCCCTATACATCGATCTCTTTCGATACGTACAAAACCAAAGATCACAGCGAGGAGAGAAGAAAACGTGAATCCAGAGGCAAATAAACCGCTTTAATACGATCCATCCGTGAGAAAATCAAACGGCGCACAAAAGCGGAAAATGTAAAATTTCTCCCCGCCCCTTCCCCAGATGGTGGGTGGGCTGTTGCTCCGCCTCTAATGTTCAATCCACGAAGCCGCACGCACGACCTACCCATTCATTTCCATCGAGAGCAGCCGACAAAGGCCAGGGCGCACGGTAACACAAAGCGACAGTTACTCTTCGCATTTTCCCTTCGTTTTCCAACCAGGCCACGACGAGTGCACCACCACGCCGCTGGATCGATCTAAACGTGATTCCAACAAACGGAAAAACCCGATGAAAAGCTCGCTACGTCGAAAAGCTGCACGGACAGGGCACACGCGGTCAGAATGTAGACTTCATTGTTCCAAGCAGGCCTTTTGTCAGCGAACGAATTACTGTTGCTGTTTAGACCCTCCCCTCTTTCACCTCCTCTCCTCCTCCTCCGCCTCTTCCAGCCCCTGTCAACCCCTTTGCCTCACCGAACGCTGCATCCATCGCGCAACATCAACCTGTCGACCCTTATCACCCTCCTCACCCACCCTTCTCGTCCTTTTTCCGACCTTCCTCCATTGCGCGTGCTCGTTCTTCCGTTTTGCTTTCTTCGCCGCTACCAATCACTCTGTTCCTCGATCCTTCTCTCCCCTTCCGCCTGTTTTATCCTACACTTTCAACTTTTCTCTTCTCTTGCTTTTTCTTCACGAGTTCATTTTATTTCCTACATACACAGTCGTCGAGGTGCCTCGCGCCTCTCACCGCTGTGCTTCATACTTGTTCAGCCTGGTTTCTTCTTGCGAGGTTCGATTGTCTCGTTACGTTCCCCACTCTCGATGCATAGCTTGTTTGAGATCCCTCTCTCTCTCTGGTGACTTTAATTCTGTTTGCCTTCGAACGCGTTTAAGTAAACGCTTTTCCTCCTCCTTCGAGAGCGGCTTTTTCTTCTTGCTGCTCTTGTTTCGTCGGCTATTGTACTTAGCTCTGTCTCTTGATCTTCGACGGAAGAAAGGGGGAAGCTGATTTGTCGGAACGTCAACCAGGTGGAGTATGCTTCTTTTGCTCTAATTGGAAAGAAGACGTCGTTTCTTCTGGTTATGCGTGCAATCAATACCGCGTGACGCGGTTGACGGAAGATGGTAAATTGGTACATTATAGCTAATAGGATGTGCCGATAGGGATGTGTGATCGAATGAGATTAGTAGGTGATAGTAATCGGCGTATGCTTAAATGGAACGTTAATTATCATCATTTCTGAATGGTAAGATTACTTATTTCCGGAGAAAATTCAGGGAAAATTTAGGAAGATGAATATTTTCATCTAGAATTATTAGATTATTTAGATTGAAACTAGATCATTCAAGAATGTTGCCTCTCTTCGGTATTAGAACCGTTCGCTTGCCATATGTGTCACTGAAAACTGCAGTAAATCAGAAGAAAGTCATGTAGTATCAGCACATAGCTATCACACACATTCTCCAACGAAAAGTAGCTCTTTGTGCCCGTTTAAAAAGGTCTAAACACTTAAAATCGCGAAAGTTCCCATCTAACAGTCGCTGACAGGTTTCCAGAAAAATCGACCCAACTCCTAAACCAATTATCAACGACACTTATAAATTACATTTCCGTGACCCCGGTGACCTGCTCTTTCGAGCAATTTCACCATCGATCGTGCCTCGGCAAAACGGCAACCATGAGAAGAAATCTAAATCGTTCGTCGATACTCTGACCGCGCTAAATCTCCGGATGAAAAAAAGAGAATCAACCCCAGTCAATATTGGAGTAATACAGAGAGAAACTCGAACCGGAATCGAGCGTATACGCGACCGATGAGATTTCCCTGTGCACGACATCCGGTCATAGGTTCCAACGAGCCGGCACACGGCCGGTGATTATCGGGCGAGCACGTTGTCGATACGAAAATTGTACATTGATTATCTCGAACGAGCGATCTAGCGTGTGCAGTTTCGCGCTTTTGCCCGTGACGCCTCCTAACGCGGCCCACCGATCATTATCGGGCCGCATCGATTGCCACCGCGCCGCTTGTTTCGCTTTATTGTTACCGTGGCCCGCGCGCGAGCGTCGCTATTTGCGAGTCAGGCAGGCAGGCAACGTTATTGCTGTCGTTACTGTTATCAGACACGGGTCGATTTTGTTTTTTCGAACGACGCCCGCGTTTTTCCAGGGATCGCGGGTTCCTGATAAAACCGCGCGTCCCTAACTGACGGTCCAGCAGACGAATGATGGATGCACAGGTAATCGAATCGCGGATTTATGATGGCGCCCGTTTCAAATACTTCGCGGTGATCGCTTGGGTTCATCGGGTTATCGACTAGCCAACCCCCTACTAGGCTTAATGGTATTAATATCGCGACTGCTTCGCTGTTTACATTAGTCCATTAGGTTCCCTGGCAAACTGGGGTCATTTAGAGCTGGATGAAGAGAAACTTTTCGAAATGAAACAAATGCGGGAACGTTGGACGAAGACACTGTACAGGGTACGTTATCATGATTTTTTCATAATAAGGCCGATACCCTAACCCTTGTTCCAAATGTTGCTTAATTAAATGCTTAAATACTGTCTGTTTAAATGGCAATCATTTGGAATTTTCACCTCCTTTCTCATTTCTAGAATTAAAAAAATGCATTTATATGTATTTAAATTTCCCTTTCGTCCTTTTTTCCCTTGAATCTTTAATTACTCCTTCATCATTGTTAATATTTTGAATCAAATTTCTCAAAAATTTGCTAATTCTGTCATTCTATCTATTCTTTCCTCTTGTCTTCCTCTTTAAATGGCAATAAAACTATTTTACCAAAACTGAATTCTACAATAAAAACCTGGATCCTACTTCCTCATCACAGCTAAAATTTCAATAAAAATATATCTAATAAACTGTTAATCCTATCACACCATCCGTTGACTTCCTCTAAAAAAAAAAAAAAAAAATAAAACACAA